AAAAAGCTTAAAGGTGCCTAAAAAGTCTTTTACTATTAAAGTAGTAGAGGTAATTTAAGGCATTATTATAAGTAATTTAGTAGTTAGTAAAAGTTAATTAAAACTAATAGTTTTTAATCTAGTTAGCTATTTAATTTATGCCCTTAATTAAGCAACTTAGTTCTTAAAGGCTATGCTGCTAAAGTTTAACTTTAAATTTAGTAAGTTTTTAGCTTTTAGTCTTATAAAAGAGGGTTTAGCTATTAAGGTTAGTAGTAGTTTAGTTTTAAAAGCAGGCATCTTGCCTTAGCTATAGCTAGAACAGGTTGTAGTCTTTACAATAAGATCTAATAGTAGTTAAGAGTTAAGCATTAGTAGTTGTTCTTAATCTTAATAAGTTATTAGTAGTCTTTAAGTTTTTACTTTAGCACACTCTTTGCAACTTTTTTAAAGGCAATTTTAATTATAAGGGATAAAAAGTTTTAAACCTAAAAGCTTTAGTTAATAAAAAGTCTCTAAAATTCTATTTATACTAACTAAATAATTTAATATAATAGTGTGTAAGAATAGTAACCTAAACTAAATTAGACACTTTTTAAAGTTAGACATAGTTAAATAAATAATTAATGTAATATTATAATAAAGCTGTTACTAGTAAAAGCAAGTTTTCTAATATAATGTAACAGCGCAGGCAAGACAATAGGTCTAAATGCAGTATAAATCTACTTAGAGGCATATAGGAGTGCGTAGGGACTTAGAGACCTAGGAATACTAATAACACCTATAGGCCTTGTACGTAGGATATCAGAAAACTACCAAGCTAGCTACAGGGGCGAGGTGCGACTAAATACATGCAGGAATAGGGGTAACTGCGGGGGACTGGGTCAAGTCATGGTCAGGGCCGATACGGGGACTCTTCGGATAGGATCCGAGCGACCCGAGATGGAACGATTCGTAGAATCGTTACACTAAAGCTTTAAAAAACATCCTTCTTACTTAGTATAGTTATAATAGCTGTAAAGCTATTGCAACACTTATTTAAGCAGAGGACTAAGTTATAAAAGTTATAAAGCTTTTTAATAACTCTATGCTATTAATAAAGCTTAAATTAATTTTAAAAAGCTACATTAGCTAGCTTTTATTTCTACAGGCTTATATTATTGCTGTAAATAACTGCCTTAATAATAATTTAAATAGTATAGCTAGCGCAGTGTATTTAGTTGTTGCTGCTAAAGTTAAGGTTTATGTGCAAGTTAAGATAATTAATAAGCTAGATGTTATTATTTAATGTGTTATCTGCTATAAAGCAGTAGAATTTTAACTTAATATTATACTCTTAAAAAACCTTAATAATAGTATGTGCTTAATTTGCGCTAGTCTTGTTGCTGTATAGGTTTTTAAAGCTAATAAGTAGGTCTTACAGCTAGGTGTTAGCATCTATGTACACATCTATAAGCTATATAAGCTAAGTTTAATAGGGCTTACTTACTAATAAAATGCGCAACAACTTTTAGTATTAAAAAGTAGTTAAGACTACTCTACTTAATTAAGCTTAACATAATTTTACTATAAGCTTTACATAACATAGTTTAAATCTCCTCTTTTTACTTTATAAAACTATTATAAAGATATTATAATAGCATAGTTAAAGAAGTAGAGAAAGTGTTAAGAAGATTAAGTTAATTTTAAGTAATAAAACTTTAACATTTAGCTAAGGTTAATTACTATAGCAACTAATTAGATATAACTACCTAGTTAATAAACACCTACACTAAAGCACCCTCCTGCTACAGCGTATAAGCTACCTGCTGCCTTACTCCTGCTACCTCTGCTGCTGCTATAAAGGGATTTAAAGGCCTCTAAGGGCTATCTAGCAGTACGCTAATGTTAGCATTAATCTTATAAACTACCTTAAAATGCCTTACTATATAGATATTACTATTAATAAGTTTAGCTACTTTTTAAACACTAGCTTTATAGTAAGCTTAATAAAGCTACAGCTGCTTCTTCTTACCTGCCTTAGTAATGTGCTGCAGATCTGCACTATATCTTTACATAAATAACACTTTCTAGCGCCTAAAAAGTTATAACTTATGCTTTATATAATATCTTAGCTAATCTGCGCTTAATTTAACACTAGAACACTATATATTATCTTAGTTAATCTTAAAGGTAATTTTAACATTATAGTAGGCATTATTTAGGTGCTCTTTAGCCTAGGTATCTTATATATGCTTTAAAGAAGTTACTTTACGCAAGGACAGCATAGATAGACTAGGTGAGGCTATGTAGGCCTTCTCTAAGCGTTAGGATAAGGCAGCATAATATATCTAGGTAGCAGAACAGCTAGATAAGGCATGTAAGGATAAGGCATGTAAGGATAAGGCTTATAAGGATAAAGCCTACAAGAATAAGGCCTATAAGGTAGTAACACACTAAGATAACTACATTATTAATTAAGATAAAAATTAAGACATTATAATAAGTAAAAGAATAACATAGATAGCATAGTTACTAAATTTATTAGAAGATTGCTAACAAAATAAGTAATAACAGTATTCTCTGCATTAATCTCTAAACACAAGCCCTCTAGCCCTTAGTAACCTGCCTTTAACTGCCTAAAACTACTAAAAATTCTATATAACTACTGTAAACAGTTAGTACAGCAGCCTTACGTATAGTACAGTATACTAAGTAGATGCCCTGTACGTACGTACGTGACCAAAATCAGTGTACTGCAGTACTGTACTATTAGGTGTACTAACGGTTGGACACACTGCCTTCAATGCGTCTTGTTTGCCTATGAGCAGCCCAAGATAGCTTTTTCGCCACAGCGAGTTCATGTAGCTCGCATCTATTGCTTAACACTAGGGGGTCTACTCTTGTAATATCGGATATAGGTTCGAGAAGATCCTCTTTAGACCCTACGAATTTCCAGGTGCTACTATAAAACAACACGCTGTTGGGAGCAATGAGTTCTTGTAATGTCCAGCCTCGGGTAAACCAGCGGCATGCCTGGAGTCCAGAATGGAATGCGTGAGAGTCCTCGTCAGGTAGATCCGACAGATATACGTAGCATCTATCCGCGCTCTTGTACCATTGAAACATGGAGTTGATAGATTCCGAAAGCTCTGCGCTATTCGATTTATCAATGCAAACTCAACCTATACTTGCGACAACATCGACTTTGTTTAACTGCTTACGCGACCCAGCGTAGGAGTAGGGTAGTTCACGAATACAAAGCAAAGAATCTGCAGGGTAATTACAGTCATTGTTTCAACTTACCGAGTTATCTTGATAGTAAGCAGGATAGAATTTGGAACAGTATGTGGCACGAATACAGGTTACCAATCTACTGCGAGTCTCATGAGATGCATTTTTTTTTAAATCTGAAGCATTGCGCGCTGAAGTTTCTTATGATGCAATTGTAATTGATAAAATCCAAAGGTCTATAACATATAAAGGAATGACAATACAGCTACTTTCGTACGAAACTCACGATCTTACACAAATAGACCGCTATCCATCTTGTTGATTTCCTAAGCTGGAGTTGATACAGAAAACTTTGCAAGCACCTAGTTCTTCTTGCCTTGCTGAGTTGGGGTGCCTTCGTAGTTCACCTCATTGAAAACGTTACTGTTCTTTGCAACAGTGACCTTGGTTCGCGCCATATCGCCCTCGCCACGAGTGTAGATTTCCTCGTTTATGATCCTGATATCCGGGATGGCCTCCTTGAGTCCATCCTTGACAGCCTTGAGCCGGGTAGGGGTTGACGAGGAGATGCCGGCACCGCCCGCCCACCACTGCGAACCGAGTTCCTCTACCATCTCCCCTGCCGCTTTGCCATCGGCCCTCTCTTGACCGCAGAAAATATGGAAGACGGATGGGATAAAGTCTTTGTCCCAGATATAGAGAGCAGTGCAGCCGCTCAAGTTGCTGACAGTCGCTGATGTATAGCCTTTACTCTTGTAGTTGGGCCCCATGATATAGGTGTTTTCCAGGATGTTGTTTGGATCAGAAGCCGCCCCTGTGAATGTCCTGCGTTCGAGACTACGAGCCTCAGGAGCAGCGACATCAGATGAGACGGGAGCCGCAGCGATCCCACTGATCAAGACCGAAGCTCCAACGAAGAGAGACTTGACGTTAACCATCTTGAAGGAATATGAGTTCTTGGTGGCTGTTGATCGAAGTGAAGAAGAAAGTAGCTGTTGCGAAGAGAAGAAAGTAGCTGTTGCGAAGGCTGGTTGTTGGTTGTTGTTGTTGAGTTGCTTGTGATGATGGATTCTAGAAATGCAGGAAACTGAACGACCTATATACTCGAATATTGACCATCTCTAGACTTTTCTTTCCTGTAGAGTCATGGTAGATGAGGCTGGTGGTTTGCTTGCCGAGCGGGCGTCACCCGAACTACCACAGCATTGCGCATGGAGTGTAACGTAAGATGACCAGATACTATAAGCTGGAATTAGTGAGAGCGTTCGTGGTGAATTCGCTAGATGGCACGACAGGGTGTCAGAATCAGGCAGAGGTAGGTAGGTCGGTGTTGATCCTAGGTGGAGGATTTGGAGATGGAGACGAAGGTCCTTGGCACGTGAGGCTTGGCCTTGTTGCATAAGCGAATTCTGATTGGCCCATAGTGTCAGTTGTTTCGGACACCGGCCTGAGTGCTAAGTGGAGCGCCTGATTTATGAGATAATACTGATTCTTGAAAGAGATAATACTGATTCTTGAAAGAGATAATACTGATTCTTGAAAGAGATAATACTGATTCTTGAAAGATATAATACTGATTCTTGAAAGATATAATACTGATTCTTGAAAGAGATGCTTACTGTGTATGCCCTGTCCAGGTTGGCTTTCCCGCGGGCTCGAGTTTCTCAAAGGTGCCGGCAGTGGCCCCCCGAAGTCAAACTCCCCGGCGTCGATCCTGACGACGTCATTCAGCAGCATTACCATGTCGGTGCCTGATGTTGTGGCCATATATCTATTCTTGAAAGCATGGCAGCTACATAAGTTTCTGTATGCGTAGATGGCTGAAAACCTTCCTCGCAACGAAATTCACCAAAACAATTGATTGTTGGAATTTGCAGGATTCGCTGGTGTCTACTCGTCCCGTGACGAGTTGGACCGTGCATTTCCCCTCAATATGTGGCATCACCAGTCACTCAATTACCCTCCTTTTGTAACCTTCGATAGCTACTTCAAATCGATTGTTCACCACTATATCGCCGTTTTGCAACATTGATGACCCAGCATTGGCCTGCTCAGCCATCCACAACAATGGGCGTGTCGAAACTCAATATCACTTCTCTGCCTCTCGAGATGCAGCAACAAATAGCAGATTGCGTCAAAGCAGCGCATCGACCCAGCCTTTTCGCCTTGAGTCTCGCAAGCAAGGCTTGCAATAGGGCGGCTGCCTTTGTCATTTTTCGCGATATCAGCATCACGGTCCGGAATCCCGATGGACTGCAACAAGATGTCAACAGACTTGTCAAGACTCTGTCCCGCACAGATTCCGCACGACACGTCCAAAGCATCACTATCAAAGGGGCGCTACGACTTGAGTCCACCAAGAGGGCCATATATGATCCTGAGCACGGTTCGCTCAAACAAAGCGGCCTTTCTGAGATACTTGCTCAAGAAGAATTAATGGACTACTCGCGCGACTATGTAGTCTACGATGAAGGCGTTATTGAAGAATCCTCTAAAGAAGATGTAGCATGGGCTCCAATTGTGAGCCTACTTAAAGTAACAACTAGCCTGAGAGACCTAATCTACAACTGCCAAACTCAATTTCCGCCAATTCTTCTCAAAGCCCTCCACCAGCAACATCCCCTTTGCAGGCTCCACCATCTCACATTCCACTTCCGCACACTACTGTGGGGAACGCCTTATCCCTATGAAATGGAGCTCGCCACGTCTCCATCCTTGCATAGGCTAAAAGCTACATGTGCATACCAAGATTCCGATGGCGATTTTGACTACAACATGGACGCTATAATGGAGCTTGCCGCTGGGCTTGCTCCCAACCTACAGCATGTCACCGCATTGAGTCTCTACCCAAACCTCCCTTCAAGTCAACGCAGCATGCGGAAGCCGGCGTGGCAAGGCCTCCCGGGCTTTACTTCCGGAGCAAAGGGGTCCCTAAAATCACTATCTTTGAAAGGAAGCTCAGCATTGCACTCGACGGACCTGCTGCAGAGATGGGCCAAGCATACAGACTTTACTCAGCTAGAGCATCTTATCCTGGGGGGCTCACACACAGAGTATTTCTGTGCTCTGAGTGGTGAGACAATGGACTGGATTGCCCAGCATTATTCATTTCCTAATCTCAAGACACTCGAGGTCTACCTTACACGTGACGACGTGTTCAACGCAAGACCTAACTACACTCAACACGCAGTATCCTTTTTCCATGCCATTAATCCTCTTGAGAAGCTCACCATCAATGGGGCAATGGATTCACAAATCCTCGAAGCCGTCTTAAACTATCACGGTTCGACACTGCATAAGCTAAGCATAAACCCCATTGAAGACCTACAAGTAATCACCAATGGCCGCCAACGCAGCGAAATACCCCTCGAATTCACACCCTCGCGTATCCAACAAATCACCATCCACTGCCCCCACCTCTCCGATCTCTCCCTTCCAATCATCCGCAACGCATCTCGCGCCTCCGAAACCGCGTGCTACAAAGCCCTCGCCCAGATCAAGCCTCTGCGAGCCCTGTTCCTCACACTTGAATGCACAAACTACCGCATCAATCGAGACCCAACATACGACCCTCAGTACGAGGGTGAAGATAACCAATTAACATATTGCACCGTGGACCGTCTTAAACGCGGCACGGTTAAACAAACACTGATAAACAGCGCCGTAGACGAAACCTTGGCTCGCTCAATCTTCACGCTCATTAGCACCCACAAACGGGGTCGCCAGCTCGAGAGTCTGAAGCTATGGACCCATGGCGCAGGGCAATTCGCGACAACATTCTATGGGAGCATTGACACTTTTGTTCGGAATTTGAGTCGCTCGTGGTTGATTGAACGGGTGCCCGGCCATGAGGTTGAGGAGGAGGAGGATGTTAGCGTTAGGGAGTTGGCGAGGCTTGGGAGGGAGAGTAGAGAGATCGGTCTGAGGGGCAGGGATGATGGAGAGGTGGAGAAGATATTTTGGGAGATTTGGCCTGAGAAGCAAGGGAAAGAGGATTGGAGGGTTAGTTGGGAGGGGTTTAAGCTTGAGGAGTAGGGTTGGCGAGGATGATTATGACATGTATGTTTTTGACTGTAAGATATTTAGTGTATAGTTTT